TGATTTTCTTAAATGTTCAACAAAGAATATATTTTACTTGTTTAATAAGGGGGGAAAAAGCACATATGTTATTTCTTTAAGAATCAGAAAACTGGAGAATAAGTAGGTTTTAAATTCAACAAAGACCATCTTTAACTTGAGGGGTCTGGAGAGCTTTTCAATGACAATATATCCAAGAGGCAGAAGGATGCATGATTTGAACACCTGGACTCAAGGTGTGCACTGGATATCTAGCCCTCTTCTTGGAAACATCCTCAGAGAGGTCCACACTTCCTGTGAGTCTTCCATCATTGTAATGTACTAACAACTTTCTTACTAGTCTGACAACAGGATTTGTATCCTCTTCTTTTTTTTTTTCTTTTCTTTTTCAGAAGGGAGGGGAGGGACAGAGGGAGAGGGAGAGAAAGAATCTTAAACAGACTCCACATCCAGCATGAGCCCAATGTGGGGCTCGATCTCACAACCCCGAGATCATGACCTGAGCCGAAATCAAGAGTCAGATGCTTAACCAACTGCGCCACTCAGGCATCCCCTGTATCCTTTTCTTTTAATTTCCTCTGCCACCATCTTAGCTTACCCTGAGCAACTCATGGCTTGAAGATTTCTATAGCCTTTTAACTGGTCTCTTTCATTCCAATCTATCTGTATTTCAATATAATCTGTGTACCTCTGCAATAGTACTTATAAAGCTCCAGTGAGCCTTCTTAAATTCATGATATCTTCCCATTGTCTAGTGAATGAAAATCAAATTTTTTAGGCAAGCATTTAAGACTCTCCATAATACGACCCCTTGCTGTTATTTATTTTCCATTCTACTTTCCTGTCAAACCTGATTCTTTGCTCAAATACACCACTTCCTTGTACACTTCAGGCCCTTTATGTACGCCTCTTCCTCTGCTCCAAATGTCCTCGTGTATCTGCACCTTTTCAAATTCTGCCCATTCTTTGAAACTCAGCTGCAATGCTATGTCCTTCATAAGAGCTTCCTCCTTTAGTCCGGTTGGAAATGATTACAACTCTATGCAAATTTCACACTGATAGGTAGCAGTCACATGACATTATCCCCCACCTGGAAGGAGGTTTACTATTTACAAATCACTTCACAATAGATACTCATTCAGTTCTTTTTTAAAAATTCTTTATTTAAATTCAATTTAGTTAACAGATACTGTAGTTCTAGTTTCAGGGGGTAGAATTTAATGATTCATCAGTTGCATATAACACTCAGTGCTCATTACATCACGTGCCTTCCTTAATATCCATCACCCAGTGACCCCACCCCCTTACCTACCTCCCCTCCAGCAACCCTCAGCTTGTTTCCTAAGTTAAGAGTCTCCTAGGGTTTGTCTCCCTCTCAGTTTTCATCGTATTTTATTTTTCCTGCCCTGTCCATCAGTTTTGTTCCTTAAATTCTACATACGAGGGAAATCATACAATATTTGTTTTTCTCTGACTTATTTTGCTTAGCATAATACCCTCTAGTTCCATCCCCATCATTGCAAATGGCAAGATTTCATTCTTTTTGATGGCTGAGTAGTAGATACTGATTTAATTCTCACAAACAATCCATGAATGTAGATACTAGACTTTTTTAAATTGAGAGAATGTGTGGTCTGGTATCATACAACCAGTAAGCGGCATAGTCGAGATGCAAATCCATTGCTTTTCAAGACGGAGATATAAATCTTGAGAGGATCTTTTGCATTTTTGAAAGTTGTAAAGTACACATAACACAAAATTTAACATTTGTAACCATTTTTAGGTATAAAGTTCAGTGGCATTAGATACATTGATATTTTTGTGCAACTCTCACCACCATCCTTTTGTAGAACTTTTTTCATCTTGCAAAACTGAAACTCTGTATCCATTAAACAATAAATCCATTCCCTCCCTCCCCCAGCCCCTGGCAACCATCACTCTACTTTCTGTTTCTATGAATCTGACCACTCTGCCCACTTCACATAAGTGGAATCATACAGTATTTGTGGGGATTTTTTGTGACTGCCTTATTTCACTCAGCGTAATGTCTTCAAGGTTCATCCATGTCATAGCATAGAATTTCCTTCCTTTGGAAGGCTGAATAGTAGTCCCTTGTATGTAGATTGTGTTTATCCATTCATCTGTCAGTGGACACTTGGGTTGCTCCCACTTTTGGCTACTGTGAATGAGCTGTTAGGGATATGATTGTACAAATACCTGCTGGAGTCTTGTTGCAATTCTTCTAGGCATCTACCCAGATGTGAGGAACCACCATAATGTTTTCCAGAGTGGCCGCACCATGTCACGTTCCCGACGGCAGTGCCAAAGTGTCCCTTTCCTGCGCATCCTCGCCAAGACCTGTTATTTACTTTTTTGGTTTGGTTTTTGACAGTAGCCATCCTCATGGGTGCAGAGTAGATCTTTTGCATCCTGAGGATTTAGAACAGGAGTTAGGAACTCAGACATCCACAGGGACCAAAGGGATCCCAAAACCCAAGTGACGCAGGCCCATGAAGATGCTGAGTAGCGTCACGCCGCCTCAGGGTCCCAGAAGCAGGGATAGGATGGCGGCGTTCAGAGAGCCTATGGCTTCTTCATGGCAGCCGTCGTGACTCAGTGCAGCGTGTTAGAGGTCTGGCAGATCTTCATGAAATCTTCTGATTTTTCAGCATTGAAAATGGATTTGAATTTAAAACCCTCTGCAAGCCAATTTTCTGAAGGAACTAGGTTTGGATGAATATAGGATCTCTGGTGTGAATAGAAACCTTCCCACTTTTGAGGTGAGAATCACACTAGAAGGCAAGAGAGCAGAAATTCTGGGTCTGTGCTGGAGGGTGTGCACAGAAACCCAATGCCTAGAAGGTGGCCGATCTGGCGACAGAGGGCTGATGGCTAAGAGCTCCAAGACTTTGGGCTCTTGCTTCTCAGGGTCTAAAGGGGTCATGCGGGGGGTTTTCCATCCCCCCAAACCTTGAAAAGCATGCCTTCACCTCATTTCTGTGCTTGAGACACAACCATTGGTCAGGGTTGCTATTCCCGTTCTTGCTGCACTAGGAGACAGTGCCGAGACAGATGGAAATTCTCTCTTAAGATATAACGAAACATATGTGACCCTTGGAAACACATCAGAGAGGAGGTTGGATAATGGGTGTGTACATGGGGACCATGACAATGCTCTCTAGTATTTGCCTTTGGAGAAGGGCTGTATCCTATTAGTAACATCCAGAACTGTGTAGAGCAGGGGTCAGCAAACTCTTTCCGGAAAGGGCCAGATGGTAAATATCTTAGGCTCCGTGGGCCACTTATAGACTATCACATATTCTTCTTTGTTTTTGTTTTGTTTTGCTTTTTACAATCCCTTAAAAATATAAATAACCTTTCTTAGCTCGCAGGCTGTGAGCCAGATTTGGCCCACGGGCTGTAGTCTGGGAACCCCTGGTGGTAGAGGAACATTCCCGTTACCTTGTGTGTACCTTGCCTTTCTAAGAGATTGTTAAGAGTCATTCGGGGAAGAAAGAATTCTTTGTATTCACCACAGTTTCTGGCATGGTGCCTGGTAAACAGGCTCAACAAATATTGGTAAGTAAATGAATTGATGCGTAAGGAGGGAGTTTTCAAATATTTTAAGCAAGACGGTGCCTCATCCATCAGTTCTCAGATCTAACCTTCTTAAAGTTTTCTCTAAATACGTAGTGTTAGTAATTCATCAGAAAGAGATAGTAGGACTCACCATTTATGGCCTGACAGGATGGGGAAGGAGTAGAAAGCTTGCCTTTCTGGATGACAGCCAAAAGGGGCCGGCTGTGTTTTCTTCTCTATGTAAGAGGTGATGATAACAGCGCCTTTATTTCATGGAAAGAACAAAGATGATAAGCATAAAGACCTGTATGAACACCACAGGTTTGAGATGTTTTAACATCCCAAATTTAGGGCAGACACAACCATTGCACAGGGCTGATTTTTGTAAGAATAAACACAGTATGTTCCCAGTGCACACATTATTGATATACTCCCTTTGTGAAATGTCTGTTTTAAAGGTTTCCAACATAAAATGTGTAACTCCAGTAAGGGTTTGAGGGCAGAATTTTATCTCGAGGTCAGTAAAATTACTTCCACCTAATAAATTTCCTTATTTGGCTTGTGCTGGTGGTGCCCCGTTCCACCCCTTGGCGCTATGTAAAATGGGGATAAATTAACATTCTCAGGTCTCTAGGATACCGGTGTTTATACTGATCAGGGGATAGTATGTGTTGGCAGAGTAGACAGCTCGGAGTATGATATGAGGGGCCCCCAAAGAGTGTCTAACCTCAAAATATTTCATTATTAGCACTCAAGAGTGACATCAGAACTGTAAAAAAAAAAATATTCCTTTGGGATAAAGTGCAAAATCTACCAGAGTATCCTGTTAAAATGGAACACCTTGGAAGAAGTAATAACACACTAATTGGCTCATTATCACTAATTACAAACCCAAGAGGGATCCATTTTTCAGGCCACTAACCCTTTACTGGTCAGCAAAGGGGAAGGATCTGATAGTAAAAGAATTATGATGGCCCATGACCTGCAATGGAAGTAGGTCTGGGTAGGGACTGAAGTGAGGACCCTAGGAAGTGAAAGAAGATTGTGAGCGGGGAAGAACGGAAAAGAAAAACCTGCTGAGTGAAACAAGGGCATAAGAAATATACATGAACTTCTTTCATAAAATTAACCTGACTCACTAAAGAGACGAGAAATTTCAGAAATGCAAACAAGCTAGTTTCTTAATAGAGCCTTAAGAACCTATTAGCAATATTGCAGTATTCTAGGGGTTATTAGAGATTGGGGTGGGGGGGGAAGAAACCAACATGTTGCGAGAATATACTAGGTGCTCGCTCATTATTTAATCGTTTCATTCCATCCTTACGACCACTCTGTGAAAGAGGCAGCAATTCCTTCATTTTACAGGTGAAACATTGAAGGTCAGATGCCCCATATGACTGGTACAAAGTGTAAAGTTTAAAGCTTAATAATACTTGCTTTTGTTTCCGTTGGTTTCCATGATGACATTTGTCCCACTCGACCATGAGGTACCAGATCAGCACCTCCCATTAAAGTAAGTCTGTGAGCTGTCCTTCCTTGGTGCTGGCTTCACTTGTCTTCACCCAGTCTGATTCCTGTCCGTGATGGTGTGCAGCAACTGGTTCCAGCATGGGGCACATCTGATGGGCGTCACACACCTGCTGGGCACATACCACTACAGCCTCCAGACATGAGGGGTCTTTAAAGATGCCATCCTTGCATTCCCTTATCCCTGCTGGTAGCTTTCCCTAAAGGTTCTGCATGAGGTCCCCTTTCCCTGCTAGAAACTTTTTGGATGAGGGTGCGTAGGAGTGATAGGCACCAGTGAGCTGGTCCTTGGGTAGACTCTTTATGTGACCTTCTTAAAGCAAATGGAGATTCAAAAACCCTTGCCAAGCCAACACCAGCTCCAGTGGAAACTTGAGGATGATCTCCAGATTGGCTATGCCATCTGCCACTCCTAACTGGTTGGAGGAGGAGGGGAAAAGCTTCATATCAGATGCTGTGTCTCTCCAAAAAGGCATGAAACATACCTGTATGAGTTAAAAACTTAGGCCTATACAGAATCCTGCACACCAATGTTTATAGCAGCTTTATTAAGAGTTGCCCCAACCTGGAAGCAAACAAGATGTCCTTCAGTAGGTGAATGGATTGCAAACTGTGGTCCACCCATACAGTGAAATATTACTCAGGGATAAAAAAAAAAAAAAGAGCTATCAAGCCATGAAAAGACAGGAGGATCTTAAGTACAAATTGCTAAGTAAAAGAAGCCAGTCTGAAAAGGCTACATAGTGTCAGATTCCAACAATATGACATTCTAGAAAAGGCAAGAATATGGACACAGTAAAAAGATGAGTGGTTTCTAGGGCCTCAAGGGAAGGGAGGGATGAAGGTAGAATATAGGATCTTAAGGGCAGTGAAGCTATTCTGTATGGTGTGGTAACTCTGGATGCAAGTCATTAAACATTTGTCAAAACCTATAGAAAGTACAGCACAGAGAGTGAACCCTAATGTCCATGATGGACTTTAGTTAATATGTGCCAGTCCTGGCTCATCAATTGTAAAGAATATACCACAACAATGAAAGATATAAACAATAGGGAAAACTGTAGGGAAGGGTAAGAAGATATGAGTACTGTGCTTTCTACTCCATTTTTCTATAAACCTAAAACTGCTTTAAAAATCTATTAATTTTTATTTTAAAAAGTCATGGAACAAACCTCCACTGGGGCCCCCTTCAGTGTACTTTTTAAATCCACACCACCCCTTTCCCAGGTTTCAGGCTTGAAGGCAAGAAAAGACTATGTCTGATCTCCTTTTCCAGCCCCCTCTCCAGAAACCTGAAGGGCTGTCTCTTACTTACCCCTACTGGCTTTCAGAAACTTACCCTATGCCACATTCTCCTCCTTCCTGCGGAGATATTTGCTCCCCTTTCCCCTCCTACGGGAGACAAGGGTGCAAGGCAACATTGAAAGGAACCATCCTAGAGTAAGGAAGCTATAGAAGGAAGTGTATTGAAAATCTTATTCCTAAATACACAAGGGCATATGCATAGGGCAGATGCAAATAGTATACCTCTAAACACAATCATAAACTTTGATTTTCTAACATTGTGAAACATAAGATACATACAAAAAGTATATAAGGTATATATGTATAGCTTGGTGAATAATTACAAAGCAAACAATTATGTAGCCACCAACTGGATAAATAAATAGAATACTTCCCCCCTAATCAAAGCCCCCAGCCCTACCTCATACGCCTCTCCCTGATCAGAGCTATCTTCCTGCCCCTGGAGGAAAACAATATTCTGAGTTTTTTTTATTATCTCTTCCTTGGTTTTTTAATAATCATGAAATTTTAGAGCTAGGAATGACTTATCCATAAGCTTGTCCCACATATATTCCAGATTGGGACTTTAATGCCAAGAGACGTGATATATTTCCAAAAGTCACACAAACTGGTGGTAGAGGACCAGAAACCAATTCTTTTGTCGTCCAGTGCTTTTTGGTGTATGTTATTCATATTTTAGGAACGTGCAGCAGAGGAGGGGAGGGGGGCGATGTGTGTTAGGGTTCCTAGTAGTAATGTTAATAGCTATACTTTGCTGTGTGCTCACTATGTGCCTTACAACAACCCTAGGTAGGCTATGCTAGATACTATCATCATTACTTTTGTTATTGATAGAAAATCGGTAAGGAAATTGAGACTCGGAAATAGTTAGTTGTCAAAAGCCAGACAATTAGTATGGGGAAAATTCGGATTCTAACTTAGCCCTCCCTGATCCAGAACTTGCGCTCTTGTGCACTTGATTTTTATTTAAAACCACTGTTATTTTATTATTGTTAAAAGTAATGCCTTATTATGGTTAAAAAAAAATCTAAGAGTTGTGAGTCAGGAATGTGTTTGTCTTCAATAGCAGGAGAACCCCACAAATGGTGTGGAGAGAAGTTGATCTGACTCACACAGAGGACTGGGGGGTGGGGAGGAGGAGGGAGGCAGAACAAGGCCATTCATGGCCACTCAGTGGTAACATTAGGGGCCCAAGCGTTTTTCATTTTCCCACACCACCATCCTTAGCACAAAGGTCTTTGTCCTCAGGGTTGTCATGTCAAGGTGGCAGAAGGCTACTGTACGTCCAGGTATGGTATCAACCTTCCTGGTGGAGAGAAGAAGGAGAACGCAGGAAGGAGTTCCTTACAAAAAACCCATAACTTCTGTCTCACTGTCCATAACTATGCCACCCTTAAGAGCAAGGGAGCCTGGAGAAGTATTCTTAGAAAAGCACCCGTGACCCTGACCAAAATTAGAATCCTGCTATTAAGGGTGAAAGGGGAATGGATTTGCGGAAGTCAACTAGCGTTGTCCTCCACAAACATCATAAAAGGTTTCCAGGTGAAACATAAAGGTCTTTCTACTACTTCTATCATCTTCCTCCCATGTAGTAACTACAGCTGCTGTTTGAGTCAAATTCAGAGGACAGAGTGGACATGGATGGAAGGAAAGAACAGAGTGACTTTAATGATGCAAAAAAACCACCACCACCACCAACAAAAACCCCAAAAAACACATATGGGGGGAGGGAGAGAGAGAGAGAGAATGAATCTGAGCCAGTAAATTGTGGGGTGTAAAGTGTGAATTGACAAAGGGCCTTAAAGGTTAGGCAGGGGAGTTGAGCTGCTATATAAAAAGACTAAGTAAGCCACAGTAGATTTTGAACAGAAGAGTGAAATGTTTCTATAACAAGAAAATACATATTAGTTGTCATATTGAGATTCTTAATCTCTTTCCAAGTTGAGTCAATATAGTTATCAACACTTTCCTGCTTACCACCTCCAGAGCAGCCTGCCAGAGAATATGAATAGATCACTGGAGCATGATTCACCATTAATTAACAGTATTATTCTTGTTAGTGATTTATAAAAGACAAAGGAACAATTACTGTTTAACTATAAATCTGTGTTGATAGGAGTGTCCCTGGATTTCTAAGTTGGTTCTGCTTCTGGGGTCTTTTAGAAAGCCATATGGATATGATTTAAGCTTTAAAATGATGGGCTAATTCCATTCAGGTGCGCTGTAAAATTCATTGGAAAATACTTCCTTTCTTACCACTTAAATGCTTCAGAGAATATCAATTTTATATTTTTTAATTGCTTGAACTGTAAATGTCAGAAGTCGTAAAAAGGGAACTTTCTTCAGCTGTTCTAACAAAGAGTTTACGCTACTTTAAATGAAACATGTTGAGATGGTGCTTAGTGCTGTTGGGGGATTTTGGTACCCAAAGTCCAAAAATTCTTCAAAGAGGCAGGAACTTGTTCTTTCTAATCAGTAAGCAAGCTGAGCTTTTAAAGGAATCTCCTGTTGTGATATTTAAGGAAGTAACTTTTCTGTGATTCTGCCTACACGTCTCTTCTCCTGTAACAACATGAGTTTGATACACTGTATTTTGGGACCACCTTAACATATGAAACGGCTTAATTTGAAGACAGATTTTTTTCTGTAGTTTTTCATTTGTTTGTTTTTGGCTTTTTTGCTGTGGAAAGTCAAGATGAAAATTTATTTGTGGAAGTGTGTTCTCTCCTGGCTTTCTTTATGCTTCCATAATAATTTTGAGTGTGAAAGTTGATTCTCATTTACACATTTCACTTATTTTTACCAATTAACTTTCATATTGTTTACCGTAAAAAGATTCGTTTCTCAAATGTACTTGTCTATCTCCCTGATTTTTATTGCTAAATTTTGATAGCAGTAAGGGCAGTTTGTATCTCATCAATGTGGATTACATGGCAATTTGACCAACATTGATTTTAACTTTGAACTATGTACATAAAATTGTAAATATTTCAATGGAAATGAAATCCACTTAAGAAACCACATTTTTTTACCACTGTAAAATTACTATAATAGTAGCCATTTATATTTTAAAATATGCGTAGGGGCATACCTGATAAGATCTTGGTGAAAAAAAAAAACAATATTTCTTAATAAAAATAAAACTTAAAGGAAACAACCACCCCCCCCAAAACAAAACCCACATAAAATAAAAGCTAGAGTGTCCAGAGTTGGAACTCAGTGGGAAATCTCCTTTGGAACAGAGAACTGGACTACATGGTCCTGCCTTGTCCTTCAGATTTGTCTTTTCACTGATGTCTATCACTAATTAATGCTGCTACCCCCCAAAATCTGTTCTCAGACATGAGCTGCTCCTCCTTAATAGTCTGGCCCACAGTTGACCTGTGGTCTTTCCTTTAATATCAGGAAAGAGAGAGCCAGGATGGAGACATGCAAAAAACTTTTTATTAAAGATTGAAGGAGGGGTGCCTGAGTGGCTCAGTCGGTTAAGAGGCCGACTCTTGATTTCAGCACAGGTCAAGATCTCAGGTTCCTGGGATCGAGCCCCGAGCCCCACGTCAGGCTCTGCGTCCAGCGTAGAGTCTGCTTGAGCTTCTCTCTCTCTCCCTCCGCCCCTCCAGACCCCGCTCTGGCTTGCCTGCGCGCTCTGTCCTTCTCTCTCTAAAATGAATAAATAAATCTTTTAAAAAGATGGAAGGAAAACAAAATGAAGACTAAATGATCTAAGAAAGCTTTTCCTCTAGGCTTGCAGGCCCATTGCAATTCTGGGGAAGCCTAGTTAGGTGAGGTAAAGCTAGTTGCTACATCAGATAAACTGTAACATCTCAGGAGTTTGACACAATGACTATTTCTTGCTCACCCAGAGCTCTTTCCATTTGTCTTCCGACGTCTCAGCATCTGGCTATATCATGACAGATGAGGAAAAGATTTGGAGACTTATCCATGTGTGCCGGGGGGGGGTTGCCGGGGGAAGTGATGGGCCATGGCGCAGCTGCCCTGCTGGAAAGCCCTGGAGACAAAGCAGGGGCTCCAAGGCTGCCCTCCACTCTTGAAGGTGAAAGAGGTCCGTGATTGGAGGTGGGACCTACTCCACCCCACCTTCTCTTCACACCTCGAAACCTAGCAAGGTGTCCTAGTGAGATCTGTGGCCTTGACTGAACACCTGGTAATGTCTTTCTCTCCCTTCTTCTAATAGGAGTGCTATAATTAGCTCACAAAGGGTTAAGCCACTTCTTTGCTTCATTTTTGCACTGTGAAGTTGTTTGGGTGAATATTCATAGTTTGTCAGTCTGTACTCCCTATTCTTCATATTTAAAAAGGAAAAAAAAAAAAGGAAATACTGACTGATCTGGGCAGGATTAAATCTAGAAACAAATGAGATTAAATGTGTTCATGCTCCTTCTGACCATTTTGTGAGCACAGTAAAATCACTTTGCTGCCCCTCGAAGTGTGAGTGGAAGAACAGGAAGGGCGTGGAAGACAGTATAGGCTGCTTTCTTGCACATAGATATGCTTCTCACTTCATTCCTCTGGGGCTAGGGGCACCTGTCTGAACAAGACTAATGGCTAATTTCCTCAAGCCTGGTTGCAACTGGACAATGTATATCCTTCCCAGTAGTGTGTTTTGAGGTTACCCCCTCTTCCAATTTTCCTTCCCTTAGAAGCCTGAGAGGTACTTATTGGTGGGCTGAAATAAAATCCTAGAACTTATAATTTGAAACAATTGGTTGAAAACATCTTTGATCAAACCATGGTTATTCTGAGTCTCATATAGTCACTCAGAATTAAAGTCAAGGGTCAACCATTCTCTTAGATTCCACTGAAACCCCAAAACACAAAAGTTAGATAAAGGATAAGACATCATAGTTCATGAAGGTCAAGCTGGATACAAAATAAGAATGAGTTGGGAAAGACATTTTACTTAAATATACTATATATGAGCAATTACCTTGTAAACTGTAGTATGATGATGATTACCTGAAACAAACAGATAGTTAATTTCATAAAGTATAAAAGACAAAAAAATATTTTATCCATATCTAATACTGTCTAAGTGAGAGGACATTCTCATTCCAGCTGACTGACCCCAGATTTTATTAAAGAAATATCCTCAAAGGACAAAAGAATAACATAACAGTCTAGATTTAGTTGACATGAATTTTTTTTTGGTTCAATACCCAGTGTCCTTAATTAAGCTCCCTAGTGACTTGATGGACAGTAATGATTAATTAATTAAACTAATGCTTATTGAAATTCTACTTTTGTCATAGGTATTTGACTCTTGATTTTTAGGAGCTTTTCAACCACCGGGAGAGACAGATAAATAAAAGATTATATTAGAGAGGAATGGGACCATGAGAGTGTAAACACACATGCATATGGAGAGGCTTCTCAAAGAAGTTTGGGGAATTGGTAAAGGCCAATGGTGGTTGACAAGCTGAAACTCTAGAGTCAGACTGTCTGGGTTTAATTCCCTACTCTATAATGTCATTGTTGTATGACCTTGTGCATATTGAGTTATCTCTCCAAATGTCAGTTACTTAATTTGAAAAATTAAGAAAATAGAAGCACCTTTGCTAAGGAGGTTTAAGGGAGATTATATAATCAAATTTCTATTCTAAGATCATTTGAGGGGCACCTGAGTGGCTTGGTCAGTTAAGCCTCTGCCTTCGGCTCAGGTCATGATCTCAGGGTCCTGGAATCGAGTTCTGCATGGGGGCTCCATGCTCAGTGGGGAGTCTGCTTGTCCCTCTGCCCCTCTCCGGGCTCGTGCTCTCTCTCTCTCTCAGATTAACATAACATAAAAAAAAAAGACCATTCTAGTAGCAGTTTCTATATCAGATAAAAGTAAAACCATTGGGAGTGTCAGCTCAGGTAATCCCAGGGAGATGGACTGTTCTAAGACAGTGGCAACGGGGAAGAAGGAAAAACAGTGAGTCTAAAGAGATGAAGGAGGAAAGATAGAATGTCCTGGACTTGGTGACTCGCTGGCTACAGGAGGTAAGTAATAGAGAGGAGTCTAGGATGACTATTGGGTTTCTAGCTCAGGCAACTGGAAGGATGGTGATGCCATTCATCAAGAAAAGGAATACAGGATAAACAAATTAAATTTTAGGATAAAAATAATAAGGTCAAATGTTGGATATTTTGAGTTGAAGGCATTTATGGGACTCTAAATAGAGATGCCCATCAGCAGAGAAGTCCGGGCTTCTTGAATATTCAGATTTTTAAATGAACATATGGAAAGGGATGTGCTTTATGAAGATGATGATTCTTGTTTTCAGATGAGGTATATACTACTAGAAACAAGTAATTTTTCTGTTCTAAAAATTAATGTCTGGTGGTTTGAGATGCATGATGGAATCCTAGAGCACCTGATTATCATTAGATTAATGATTGAACCAGACCAAAAGTTTCAGCAGTCATATTCTTTACCTTTTGCTATATTAATAGGCATATCTTTTAAAGCATTTTTGAAAAGTCTGGATTCATCATTAATTCAGGCGGGCTTCCTCATTTACTGGGGAAAAATATGATTTGTGTTTAGTCAACTTGTACGATCATCATTATCCTGGAGGGGCAGCATGGTGAATAGTAGGTCCTTAACTGGGTGTGTGTATCCTGACTCCGAAACATTGGAAAAATTATGACCTAGGAAAAATTACTGAAGCTCTCTGGGTCTCATTTTCTCAGTATTCAAAAATGGGAATTATAACAGTACCTATCTGTTAGGGTTGTTGTGAGGAGGGGTGAATACACAGCTCAGTGACTGGCACAAGGAGAATTCTCGGTAAATGTTAGCTATCATTATTGTCCAAGATAATACAGCAAAATTCCATTGGAAAGCATCTGCTCTCATGACTGCATCATTTTAGTTTCACCTAAGGTAAAATCATGTTCTTTGTGAACACAGGCATAAAACACTGCAAACGTATATGCTGCATTAATTTTTTTAAATTATTTTTTAACTAATAATGAAGGATGGGTGGATATATATATACACACATGTATCTCTCACATTAATAACAGTGTACATGTTGAGAGATATAAACATAAGAGAAACATAGATATAAGTGTGGTTAAAGTGAACATATGATAAGAATATTTAAATAGAACTTTGGATTTATATAGCACAGAGTCCAAAGTATTTTGTAAGTCTAAATTTTTTTTCTAAACATTTGAAAAATTTCAGTGATATTTCAAAACCTTTCCCATAGCCTTTAGGAGGTAGTTTGTCACATCTAACTTTACAGAAAAAAAATATGGACCATCCAAACACATCTTGCCATGGTGAAAGACTATTACATTAATTAGATCAATAAAAGCCTATTGGTATGGAGAAAATTTGCTTCAATGAATAATTGTTTCATCAAAATTTTACTGTGTTAAAATTTTTATACAAGGTTAGAGTTAATAAAAATTCAAATTTTAGTATTTCAATTGCAGTATTCCTGTACTGAGTTTTACCGATAGAAAGTAGAACATAGGGGCTCCTGGGTGGCTCAGTCAGTTAAGTGTCTGACTTGGCTCAGGTCATGATCTCATGATCTTTAAAAAAAAGATTTTATTGATTTGGGAGAGAGAGGGAATGAGAGCGCACAAGCAGGGGGAGTGGCAGGCAGACTCCCCACTGAGCAGGGAGCCCGATGTGGGACTCATTCCCGGGACCCTGGGATCATGACCTGAGCCAAAGGCAGACGCTTAACTGACTAAGCCCCAGGTTCCTCAATAAATAAAATTTTGAAAAAAAAAAAGAAAGTAGAATGTAGCATTTTAAGCATGTTAAAATTATAAAAATTCAAAAACTAAACTGCACTCAAGTATGATTATATCTATTCAGCTTAAACACTATGATATTATTTCAGGTTATTTCACCAATAAAAGTAACCTATCTTAAATCATAAATGTGAAACCACTGCATTGTTTACATTTCTGAGAGCAATCAACTTGAAAGTAGAGTATTCCTTGAAATTTAAAAATTGCTAATCCTTTTATAGATCATTATAGATCAAACACTGAAGCCCAGAGAGATGAAGTGATGTCCTCAAAAGAACACTGTAATAAAGCTAGTTCTAAAACCCAAATTCCATGTAAGTTGGGTAAACTCTTGTGATGCTATTCCCAAGAGAAAGTTGTCCAGATAATATGCAACTTTCTTTTTTTTT